GGAGGGAAGGAGGAGGAGGAGGAGGCGAAGGAAATTACCAGATGACTCATTCTCGTAGATATCATTTCCTTCCAACACTCCTTGCCTGATCGTCTTCATCAGTTGCAACCTCTACCTGATCCTCTTCCTCACCCTTCTTCAAACACGTACACTCCGTTGCCTGCAAAATCATCAAAATCGTTTCATCTCCTCGCCGATCCTCGCGGCGGCGCCGTCACGACCACCACGACCACCACGACCACCTCCTCCTCCTCCGTTACCATTGTGTCCTCCTCCTCCTTCTCCTCCTCCTCCTCCGTTATCATTGTGTCCTCTTCCTCCTTCTTCCTCTTTCTTCCTCTTCCTCAATCTCCTTCCTCCTCAATCTCCTCCTCCTCTTCCTCCACGACATCTTTCTCACCTCGATTGTTGTGTATCTTGTTGTTCAGAACGATAGGATTCGCTCCCGTCTTGATAATCAGCCCGTCCATCGTGTTGTGACTGATGGTGTTCTCCTGCCGACGAATATAACCATCTCCTCCTCTTTCTCCTCCTCCTCCATCACCTCGAAATGTCCGCACCCCCGATCGTACACATCGATCCCCTTGCCCATTCCCTGATGTCAAAAACATGTGAGAAAGTAGAATCATCATCTCTCCTCCTTCTCCTCCTTCTCCTCCTCGTCATCATCATCACTTTGACACCGTCATTGCCATCTCAACAAACAAAGACCTCAATGATCTTGTTGCGGAAGAATCGAGGGTTCCCACAGTCATGAACAATCACTCCGGAGATTGCGTTGCATCGGATGTTGTTATCTTCAAAAGTCCCCTGCAAGTAGAGTATGAACGATTCCAGGTATTCGGATGGTATGAAATGATTTTCAGTCCTCAAAACAAAGAAGAAAACTCATCAAACATTTGACCAGCTTCAACTAAATGCATCGTGGTATCCTGTGTTTCCTTCAAACTCAACTGCTTCTGACTGATTCAAACACTCTGATCCCACAGCCTCGCTCGTAACAATCCTCTAACCGATGCTGTTACACCCTGGCTCCCCTTCGAACATCGACTGGTCGCACTCACCAGTCCTCCAGATCTCACGAGAACTCCCGTCGTCTTGCAGCCATGAATGTCGTTCCCTCTCACCGTCGGATTTCCTCCTTCCTTCACCACAAGACCATCCAGCTGGGGGAGCAGAGTCAGCAGCAGCGGAGAGAAGACAAGTTTAAGTTTAAGGAGACAGGCAAGTTGCCAGCGACACGAGGAGGAGCAGCAAGAGCAGCAGCCATAGGGGGCGGGGACAGAGGGAGGAGGAGGAGGAGGAGAAGGAGGAGAGATACATGATGCCCATGGATGTCATTGCCGCTGATCACAGGACTCGCTCCTCCCTCAACCTGTCCGAGAACTTGAGCAAGAGCTGAGAGAAGGAGGCAGCAAGAAGAAGAGAAGGAAGAAGGGAGGAGAAAGACGAGACAAGGAAGAAAAGAAGGGGAGAAAGGAGGGAGGAAAAAGAGAAGAAAACAAGGGAGAGGAGAGGAGAGTAGGGGACAGGAAAGGAGGGAGGAGGACAAAGGGAGTCCTCAACCAGGAAGCCGGCGCCGGTGGAGTCGTGGATGACGGAGTTGAGAATAGAGGGAGAAGTGTGGGTGCCAGTGATGTGAAGGACCGAGTCGCTCTGACCCGAGATGTCGCACCTGTCATGACGTTTGTGAGGCTAACTGTGCCGTTCCTACCCCCGATGCTCGAAGAAAGCAACATCGAGGAGAATAAATAAAGAGAAGCTGATAGAGCGGGAGGCAGCAGGAAGCGATGTTGGTGGAGGTAGAGGAGGAGGAGGACGAAGAAGGGTTCAGGATACTGTCTACCTGTCAATCACCAAACTCCCCGTGGAGATCTCCACAGCACATTCGCATCCTCCTCCCACTTGTCTCAGCGTCAAGTTCCGCACCAGTCCCTTGATGGCCCTGGCACCCGGCACCTCACATGGAGACGAGACCGATCTCCTCCCCTCACCTGAACACGAGGACGGGCTTGCTGGTTGACTCCACGACAATCTTGTTGATGCTTCCGATGCCGATAATGTCCACATCTGCTGCTGCTATGCATATGCTTTCTCTGCAGCCCAGCATGTCAAGTCGTCTCCTCTGACTCGTCGACACTGCAGGACCTGTAAACTCCTTCGCTGACCTCCACAACATCCCCGGACATGGCGGCAGACAGCGCGGCGGCGATGCTCCCATACCTGCAGCAGAAACTTCAGCCGACACCCACCAAGCCGCCGCGCCCTCTCACTCGTCCGAAGGGACTTTGAGGACACACGACTCCCTCTGACGCGAGAAATCCCGACGGAGCACGACGCTTTCGTGATCTGCCATTTCCCTCACAACCTCCTCTACACTTCGACGTAACCGACCGATCTCCTCCTCCGTCAGTCCACCGACAGGCTCCGGGCTACCCGCACGTGTGGAGACTTGATCTTTGTCTTCGCACGAGTTTTGAGCATCGGCAAAATCGTCCGATGTCAGAGCTTCAGACGCGTCGTCGAACTCATCTTTGCGCAATGACGCCTGCTAGACTCGTCACGATGTGAGCCAACCACCAACAGCTCCATCACTTTCTGAGATTGCGAGGAGAAGCTGCTTCTTGACTGACCATCATCCTTACTTGCATTCTGTCGAGGAGGTGTTATCCTCCGCCAGATCAGAAACAAAAGTCAGCACCTTGAGCTTCTCCTTCAAGGATGGCCCCTTGCTCCGCGGAGCCTCCTCCTCCTCCTCCTCCTCCTCGCGCCTGCCTGCCTGCTTGGCATTTTGTTGATGGATCAACAAACCGATGCTCTCAGGAGAAACCTGCATCAAAACCTCGTCACTTCCACCAATCCTCGAGCCTTCCCCTTACTCTCTTATATCGCTTTCTTTCTCTCCGCCCTCAGAGCTCCTCCTTACCCTCCTCCTTGTCTCCTCCCCATCTCCTCATCAGCCTCATCCCCCTTCCCTCCTCTTTCATCGTCTCACTCACAGCGGCATATGCACATTTTCCTTGCGACTTAGAAGATTCGCGCTTGGAGTGGTAGGAGGGAGTGGGTGTCGGGTTCTGGTAGGAGAGATCAGATCAAGTGCAGCTTGCGCCAGCCGTTACCTCCTCTTTCTGCAACAACGACAGAGAAAGGTCCTGGCAGCTGCAGCAGTTTCCCATCTTGATCGCTCTCGAGGCTGCTCAGAAAGGATGGAGCTGCCTGGCTCGCGGACAACAAGACTAGTAGAGCTGTTCACGGCATCCTGATCATGGGCAGCAGATTCTGCACAGAGAAGCAAGAAGTCAAGTTCAGCTATGAGAACAACAATAGGAGCATAACACATCAATTCAAAGAAACCACGAGCATGGAATGCTAACAGCTGCTTAACAACACAAGAGCTACAAACATTCAATTACAACATGTCCTCAACTCTCATGGAACAATTTTCTTCCTCAACAAGCGCGTCATTATTTTGTTAGTCATCATCACCCTAAGTGAGACAGCGCCTATTGCCCGTCCCCATCCCACATAATAATGCTTCCACTTTCGGTACAACCAAATCAACGTCATTGAACGCCAACATTGCGATCAATATGATAGACATCCACTGCAGTAATCTTTGGATAGCAAATATCTCCTGACTTTCACAGGCTTTGTTTCCTTCCCTCATTATCATTCCCCTGCATGCAATCACTGCTCCAGCTCCTCTTTCGGAAAAGGAACCTTTCAATCAACTTGAAAACATGATCGCGTCTATCTGCTTTCATGCTTAATCCATACCGACATCTCTTCGTCTCCTCCTACTTCCTTATGCATATCTCCTCTCCTCTCTTCTCCTCTCCTCTTCGCTCCCCTTCTCCTCTGGTCTCTTCCCCTCCCCGCCGCCGCCTCCCCGTATCTTGATCGGCATGTCGTGGCATTCCGGCATTTCAGATTGATTGACAATTGAAAACATTGCAGTTTAAGTTTGAAAATACAGTATAAAATTATGAGAATCGAAGAAAGTCCACACAATTTGGGATAATGTCCTCCCAATTTTGACACCCACCCTAGACAAAGTAATACAAATTGTACAACCCATACCACCCTCTGGCAAAACGGAGCGTACCCCTACCTATTTAAATCAGAAAAAGAATCTAAATGAAGGGGGTGATATGATATTAAATATCCACCCACCCTGGACCATCAAACATGGATCCCTACCCCACCCTTCGGGTAAGACTGAGGCCGAAAAGTCACAGCAAAAATGGTGAGTGAATAGCACGCCCGGCAAGGAGAGGAGGAGAGGAAAGGAGCAGAGCAGCAGAGAGCAGATCAGCACAGAGAATAAGGGGATATGATACAAACAGATAGAACAAAGAAGCAGAATATACGTCACAGACGACTGATAGTTTCAGCTGTTCAGACGGGGAAAACGACTGTGGTTATCGGTGATGAGTGGCTGTATGACAATGCTCTGAGAGTGATTGGCTCCTTGGGAGAATGAATGTGAGGAAGATCAGGAGGACATGGAAGGTTCAATGCAGTGAGGCAACGTAATGAGATGGGGATAGTTCGCAACATCTAGATCACCGATACATATTTGGTAGGTAAATAGCAAGGCGCAAATGGACAATATTTTGAAGGATCAGGAGGTACATTAGGATTAGACGTCATTGTGAGGTTTGAACATCAGCCGCTTGAAATGCTATGGGGCTGGAATGTTGTTGAGTGCGTTGAGTTGGGTCTTTCGTTCGACCTTGTTCGTTTGATCATATTCGTATGTATGCTATCAGGTCAAGGTGTTGGATGCTGATTCCAGCAGCTTCTACGCTCATCACTGGTATGTATGTCACAAACGCATCGCTACAGCTCACATGGACTGACAGGATACAACCGCACAGCACGCCGTTCGTGCACGAGCAGGGATGGTTCCGCGACCACAAGGCTCCATCGTACAGCACGTTCTCGACAGCCAGGACGTCCTCTCTGCAGTACAGCCCGGACTCTTGGTGGACAAAGCTGCATTACGGCGGCGCAAAGTTCCGTATTGAAGAGCACGACAAGACTTGTATCCCTGGCTCTGTATGGGTGGCGGGAGAAAGCGTTTGAGACTGCTGCCGCATCATCCTCCTGCTGCGATGATTCCTCCTACCGTATGCCTGCGAGGGAGCAAATCAGTGTATGGCAACCAGCCTGAGTCTGTCGGAGCAAGAGGAATCAAAGTCAGCGATGGCCAGGACATCGTTGCCGTCAAGGTTGATGATGATGACCGGGCCCTGTAAGTTTGTAGAGTAATGAAATGAGTGATCTGATGCCAGAATCATCGGACCCGCTCGGCACCGCCATCGTACCGGCACTACTACTCAGCGCCTCCTCGATTATCCTGATTGTACTCAGCGATGCCAGAAACTATCCAACTGTCTTGAACGATTTCAACTTGAGTTGCCGATCTACAAGTTCTCAGCGGCCCGTGCACGGCAAGTTGAGCCTGAGCCGGGCCCGGGCCGGCGGCCGCGGCGGACCGGGCCCGGAGTCCGACCGTCTGCTTGGATCGCCGCTGGCCGGGCTTGGTCCTCCGCAGGGCCCCGGCTGCAGGCCTGACTCTTATTTTAAATCTCATTCTTCGCTCTGTGCAACCAAAGTTTGAAATGATGCAGCCAAAAGTTTGAAATATTTTCGGAACATATCACTCAGCTATTCGGCTATTCCCCAAATCCTGAGACCTTTACCACACAGACTAAAATGATAAAACCGCAGCATCTGTAACGGATACACCACCCCCACTGAGATGAGCCACCCATAATAGAGGATTTTACATGACCCCACCATGTTTGCAAGATCACAAGCAGTTTGAATTGACTCCACCCCCATTCTAAAGCCTCCTCTGCAAATATTCTCCTTCTTCTCGATTCTTCTCTGTTCATCATATGAAGAAAATAACATCCAGTACAACGAGCATCTGGAGTGCTTGCCTTTGTCCACCCCTACCCCCTAATTTGGTACCATACCAACGTTTTATGGACTTCTTGTTCTGTCCACCCACCCTTGGGATAAATTCTGCTGAACATAAAATTTGTTTTAAACAGCAAACAGTCTTCAACCGTTGTAAACAAACACTGTTTCGCTGACAATGAATCTTTACCACAAGCCCGGTCAGGTACTCCCCATCTTTTTAAATACCCCTTCTTTACCCACGCTCTACCCTCACTCTTTCCCGCAGGTACCATCAATGCTCCAAAGCTTCCAGAGGGTGGGTGGGCGGGGTTGGTGGTACGAACGTCCAGGGTAGTATCGACTAGAAGTTAAATGTGTGGGGGTGGGGTGGTAAATGAAAGCGATTGTTCCAGGGTAGGGTCCTTTTGCCTTTAGAAGGGTGGGTAGGGGGTATCACCGAGAAGGAAGGTGTATGGTCTACCCTGAAGTGAGCAGGCAACAGGGGTAGTAAGGGGGTGGTATCAAAGTTTTATTTCGAGGGTCCCTATTTCGGCCTTTCGAACTGCCTTGACTACGGGGTTGGTAATTGGGGTGGGGTAGGTGACCCCTGGTTGGAGGATTGTGAACGCAGTGGGATCAAATAAGTTGATTTTTTCAAGAATGCTGATTTGATCACCAAAGACTGCACCAAATATAAAACTAACATCAATTGCTTCATCATTTATTCAAGTTTAAGAGGAATTTTACGTTGATCTATGTGAAAAAGACGGATGCACTACCCTCATTGAATGTATGGTCACTCGGAGGAGTCGGACACAGATGAGCGGAGATGCTCCAGGGGGTAGGGGTGGGTGGTGAAGCCATCGGGGTCAGTTGGCCTAGAAGGAGCAAAGAAACGCCTGGTAGGGTACCACTGTGTCAGGGAACCCCAGGGGTCTCACGAAGGCGGGGAATCGGATGGGGTTGGGGTTCTGGTTGAAACGAATACGATGGGGTAGGGTAGTACAGCTGGAAATGTAGGGGAATTGGGGGTAGGGTGTGATATAGCAAAGAAGCGGAAGTAGATTTCGAGAGTGGGTGGGGGTGGTTCCTGACATTGTTTCAGGGTACTGGCGGGAGATCAGGGGGGTGGGGTGGGAAATCGGTCGGGGTTAGCGCAATGGAAAATTTGTACGCTGAATGCCTGAGAAGAAGGCGGGAAGTGTAAGCGAGGAGAGGAGAGGAAATGGCGAGTTAGCCGAGGTCTAGACAGTTCTAAAAGATTCCTGTTCTGTTACTTGCAGACACTGGATAGAAGAGAAGTAGAAGACACGGATAGCAGGATATGGATATATATCGGATCGGAATATAATTAGATGATGATTTTGGGATAAGTCTGAGGAAGAACGAAACGCTTGAGAGGTGTGAGGTGCTAAGAGATGATAAGTTTGGAACAATCTCAGTCCCTGCCTCGCATGAAACAAGACAGAGACAGCATAAATGTGTTGAGACTTGAAGTTTCAGCAAGGAGAAGCGGAATGTTTTTTAGTGTGGTTTCAGCAATGTGCGAGGGTTGATGTTCATGTAAAGTAGTGTTGTTGATCGGCATATTTTTTCAGGAAACAGAGCATTGATCTGTTTGCAATCCAGGATGGAGGCGAAATCAGCCCAAGCTTGAAGTCTACTTCCTGAATCCTTCAATTCTCTGAATACCATGTCGTTAGAAGGACAGCTCAATCAGTTTGTGATGAACCATTTCTCCTCCATGCGCTTGTTGGATCCAGAATCGAGCTCGAAGGGTGCGGACGTTGAGATTCATCAGCGCTACATGAGTCCGAGGAAAAGCGAAGAAAATGCCCTCCACCCTAAAGGTGCAGGAGGCTGATTACTGACTGAGTTGTACTCACCCTCCTGTCCTCAGCATTGTTCCTCGAGACCAAAAAGGATCCCGACTTCTTCTTCACTCCTTCACCCCCCAACTCAACGAGCAAGGAGAGCCCCCGAGGATGGTCGGACGAGTACTTCAACATGACACTGTCGGAGGCTGTTACCCGAGGAGACTATGGATACGTTGAAAGGGTTGCTCTGCAGGTCGTGCATGTTGATGTTCAGTCGACGCATCTGATGCAATTCTAGATGTTGAGCATGGCAAGAACGAGAGATGCGGCAAAGCTGCAAGACCTCATCACCGCGCAGTTCGCTGGTCCCGCCCCCCTTTCTTCCAGTAGCACCATGAGTTCAGCGAGCACGATCCTCTCCTCATCAAGATTTTCTGGTGCTGTGGTCCCTGGATTCCTCGACTTGTTTGACTTGACGACTCAGATATCTATCTACCTGGACACAGCAAACAAGTTTCATACTCACCTCATATCCTCTCTGTACCGCAGCAGTTGACCTGGCGTGTTGTATTCATGACCATCATTTGCAGGTCAAGAAAGCTATTGGCTGCACTGACTTCTCATCGGAACTCATCCCCAACAACCTCCCAGGAACTTTTCTCTACGACACTCCTGCGCGACAGGTCTTTGTCATGTCGTGCAGCAGTCAAGTCCTGACTGCCGTTACCACCTCACAGGATGCTGGGCTTTTACTTTCATTGCTCGAACCTCTCATGGCATCTGCAAATTCTTTCTCAAATCACTGCTCTCCTCAGGTTCCGAACGTTCTGGCCCCTGTTGGATCGCCAATGTCTTACGCCTGCCGCAGACTTCACCACTTGTCAGACCGAGCACAGAAGGTCTTCGGTCGTCAATGCTGAAGGTAGCGGACGAGGTTGATACATGAGAGAATGACGTGCTTGAAGGACGCCATCATCAATGTTGTGTATCATGCGAAGAACATCACTGCCAAGGAGAATCGTTTGCTCGACATTCCGTCACCTTGCTATGGTGTTCTTTTCTCCAGCCTTGACTTCAGGCTCTAAAGTTTGTACAGTGTTGGGAGATGTTCATGGCAATTTGCACGACTTGAATTTCTTCATCAAGGTTCGCAAGTCTTTATTGACTCTCTCTTGCCTGCAATCTCAGTCCTTGTGCGCAGATGCTTTGGCCTGCCGGCCTTGCTGCTTCAGCAGGGAATTTCTTGTTCCTCGGCGACTTTGTGGTGAGTGGAAAGCTTTTCTGCCGTCGCTGCTTCGTCCTCCCTCACTTGTGTGTAGGATCGTGGGATGGACTCGGTTGTGGTTGTCGCGTATGTGATGGCGATGAAGGTGACAAGACCTCCGTGTGCTCGCGAGTGCCTGACGCTTCCGATCAGATCCTCTTCCCGGCCAAGTGGTGGTTGATTCGCGGAAACCACGAGACCAGAGAAGGTGGCGGCATGCTCTCAAGCGAGCTCTTGGTGGCCTGACCTCTCCTTCAGTCAACGGCAACACGGATCACTACAGGGAAGGCTCCTTCCTGAAGCAGTGCATCAAGGTGACCGGCAAGCCGGGGCTGGAGGACGGGAGCTGACTTGCGTTCCTCCCCCCAAGATCTTCGGCGAGGTCGATGGGCACTTGGTGTGGGAATCTGTCAACAACTTCTTCGACACGCTGCCTCTCGCGGCCACCATCGACTCAAGGTGACCTCAGTCGCTCTCCTTCCTCCTCAGCGTCCTTTAGCGTGCTTCTCGCCCTCCCCCTTCCCCTGTCCTTCCTCCACAGCCCTGCTGATGCTCCCTCAGCATCTTCTGCGTGCATGGTGGCATACCCAAGTCCTTGTGCGAGGACGGGGCCACACTGGATATCATCAACGAGGTCGGCGCTCTCCTTCCCCTCCTTCCTTCCATGACCAGCAGCAGGTTGAGTGCCCCCTGAGGGCTCCGCACGCCAATCAGATGGTGTACGACATGTTGTGGTAGGAGAAGCTCGATGCGAGGAGCTGCTGTGAAGAAAGATGCAGGTCGGATCCTTCCAGCCCTGATCAAGCTCTCCACGAGCTGGACGAGGGTAAGTTCCTATGAGGTCTTGACGACGCGTGTTGATCTCTTGCCAGCTGGGTTCGGCCAGTCGTCTCGGGGATGCGCGAGCTTTAGTGATCGCTCGATTGATATCTTTCTCTCCAAGTACGAGTGATTCCTTTTCTGGTTCCTCCTCCTCCTCTCCATCCTCCCTCCTCCGTTCCTCGCCTTCCTCCGTTTCACCACCACATCAATCTCACCTCAATTCTCGTGATCCTATATCAAGGTACAACTTCCAGCACATCTTCCGGGGCCACGAAGCACAGAAATCGGGTCGATTATTATTGACCGTCTCACAGAGCATCTGACGCGTTCGCAGGTGTTGGAGTGAACAGAAATGCTCGGCTCACCACCATCTTCTCAACCTCCAAGGTGAGGAGACGACGAGGCTCTTGGTGGATGTCGCTAACATCCTGCTCAGGATCACTTCCAGGACAACTCTGCTACCTGCGGGTGAGACATGACGGACGGCTGATGTTCTCCTTCCCATGCTGATCGTCCTGCAGTTGTGTGCTGGTGGAGTCCGGTGTCATTCAGCCTGTGATCCGATCGAACAACGGTGAGAACTTTCTGTCTCCCTCTCTACCCCCTTCTTCCTCCTCCCTCCCTTCCCTCCTTCCGTCCTCCTCACCCTCCCCGCCCCCCCCCCCCCCTCACCGCCCCACAGCTCGCTCCTTGTCATCTCCTCACCGCTACCTCAGAACATGATCTCCAACTGCTGCCCACGTACTCAACGCAATCTGTGGAGGTACATACCATGACATGCGCCTGTCAACCCTCAGACCTTCTCACGTCCACTCAGATCACGGAGATGCACGTGTTTCGCGACCCTCAACTCTCCCGCGCGCACAACCAGCCGCCGCCCACCATCTTGGCCCAGGTGACGCTGATGATGATGACGACGATGGTCTGTGACATGGAGGGCAGCCCATGTTGTATAAGTCGGTTCAAGAGCCTGTGCGATCTCAGCACATCGTATCTACCCCTGACGGGCGCTCCTGGCTGATTCGTCATGCTGCTTAACTTGTTGATCTTGCTAATTGGGAGATTCGCATGGTGCGCTGAGATTTATGTACACCCAAGTATGTTGCGAACTGTTGTGATAGATGTTATAAAGATGAATGTTGAATGGAATGGAGTGGAGATAATCAAAGCAGGCGAGAGGAGGGACGCGTGGGTTGCGATGGCTGGTTTGATCACCCGAAAGGGATGACGAGAAAAGATCAGCGCGAAAGTGCCCAGACAAGAGAAAAGGTATGATTGAATAAGATGCATTGGGTACAGCATCATACGCGGCACAGCGCGCTGTTCTAAGAGCCTCAGGGCATCACTTTAGCGGCAAAGCTTAAGGGGCAGGGGAGCTGCTGTCAGTGTGGGTGACGTGGCTCGAGATGGTCTCGGTGGAGCCAGCGACGCTGTGGTCAGTGATGTCAGCTCCACGAATGTTGTCGAGGTTGGTGGTGTCCTCCCAGAAAGTGTTGATGGCGACGTAGTTGTTGTACGCGCCCTGGTTGGAGCCAGTCATGTCCATGGAGGCAGCGCCATTGTCGGAGTCGCCGAGCCAGGACTCAGAGACGTAGGTGTTGTCAAAGGTAACTCCTCCTGCTCCTGTTGTCAGAAATGCGGGACGCTACTGGCATCCGAGTTCATGCGTACCGAAGACGAGGGGGCGCCGACGCCGCAGGAGTTGCTGCCGACGCAGGAGGAGAGAGCCTGGAAGTGGACAATGTCTTGGAACATCTGCGAGATTAAAGGCGTCACAGAGGTTGAGCAAGAGCAAGGCGAGACAAGAGGATGCCGTCCGAAGGAGGGAGGGACAGTATCAGCAATAGTTCCCAGTACACATACATCACTAGAACGTTCTTTGACAGTAAAAGACAGCAGCAGAACATTGAATGGTGACATCAAAAGCTCTGGTCAGTGTCAACTCAACCGGATCAAAGGAGCATCTTCGCGCTTGCATTCAACAAACAAGAAAGCGAACGACGAACACCGCTCAGAACAACAAGGAAGTCATGATGATGAGGGGAAACTAGTATGTGGCGGCACGTGGTTTTGGGGAGGCGCTGTTTTGAAAGAGGAGAGACTTGTTGATAAAGTACATCTGTTGTACAGGACGGTGATAGTAGGTATCTCAGCAGCAGCAGCAGCAGCAGCAGCAACAACAAGGGCCAGCACTGGTCTGGCAGTCAGACAAGGCGAATGAAAACTCTGAATGAGTGAGAGTCTCTGCTGGTTGAGGAGGAGGAGGAGGAGGAGGAGGAAGGAGGAACAGAAGTGAAGCAGCAGCAGCAACAGCAACAGCATTGTGAACCTGGTGACGACCTTGGTTTCAGCACAGGGGGTAGGGGTTATATTGACAGTGATATTTGACAGGGGTGGGTAGTCTGTAGGAGAAGGTGGCCCAGTGGGGTGTTTAGTCACAACTTGAACAGCAGGGGCGGGAGGGGGGGTCGATAAACGGGTAAAATGAGGGGTGATGTTGGTGTTGGAGGGTTCACTGTTCATGGGGGTGATGTGGTAGTAGGGGGGGTGGAGGTACAAGAATGGCTATGTGGGGGTTCATTCAACAGTGATTTTTTTTTTGAGGGGTCTATTTCTGGGGGAGACTGAGAAGGTTCAAATGCTGAAAATAATTTCAAGTTTTGACTTATTAATTTCAAAATAACAGGAGCACTTAACTTGAGTAATATAAAGTTTGAAGCGACTAAAATTCCGAATTCTTGAGTCAATCCGATGATTATTCCGGCACTCTAGTCAAGTACCGATCTCGCCGCGCCCGGTGCCGGGGTGACAAGTAGAGTACGAGCAATTGTTCTCGACGGTCCTCTACCAGCACCTCTTCTCGTCCTCTACCAGCACCTCCTCTCGTCCTCTACCAGCACCTCCTCTCGTCCTCTACCAGCACCTCTTCTCGTCCTCTACCAGCACCTCCTCTCGTCCTCTACCAGCACCTCCTCTCGTCCTCTACCAGCACCTCCTCTCGTCCTCTACCAGCACCTCCTCTCGTCCTCTACCAGCACCTCCTCTCGTCCTCTACCAGCACCTCCTCTCGTCCTCTACCAGCACCTCCTCTCGTCCTCTACCAGGACCTCCTCTCGTCCTCTACGAGCACCTCCACTCGTCCTCTAGCAGTACCTCCTCTCGTCCTCGAGGACGGCAGCAGCCTCACATCTGACTGGCCTCCACCAGCTCTCTACCGGACCCCGAAGTCCTCTCGGCCTCTACCAGCACATCTGACTGGCCTCCACCAGCAGCTCCTCTCTACCTTGAAGAGCGCCTCCTCACTGTCCTATACAGGCAGCTCGTTAGGGCCGTCTAGGAGATCCTCATCTCGTCTCTACAAGGGCGGCCTCTGGTCCGC